TTCATAATTTGAACCTTCTGTGAGAGGTGTGAAAAGCCAAAATCTGCAAATGAATATAGAGAATTAGAAGGAAACAAGTTTGTCATTGATAGAAGGGGGAAGGTGTGAACCAAGTTTCAGGATGACTTGGGTTTGGATGTCCTTCTGCAATAAGAGTTCTGAAACCAATCTAGGAGCATTTTTATAATGAAAATTTTTTATCTCTAATACATGTTATGCAGTGGTGCATCACTTTGATTGAATGACGATGTCAATGTATGAGATAGTGTAAAATGTAGTTTCTTAGTTCATGTTTTTGGTGCCATGAGCTAAATGAAAAACTTCAAGTGCTGCTCAGTGTTAGGTTTCTTTGATAAAGAGTGCAAACTAATATTATAATTTACATGGGAAGATTATATATAAAAAAGAAATAATTAAAATTACTGATGTTATAACTGTTTGAAAGCACTGCTTAAAAACTTACGTGAAATGTAAGGACAAAGCATATATTCTTAATTCTCTCCCCTTCATTAGTCATTTTCTCGCATCGATTTCTTTCTCATTAGTAACTTAATTTTATCTTACATTTCAGATACTAAAATTGACTGCATTACAGTAAGGGATCATTTTTTCTTTATTTCCAATAGTAAACAATTTCAACAACTCACTGCCATAGGGGGCATTAATACTGTAGCGTTTTCAAGTTCTCATAGGACAAAGGACAACTGCTTTTATTCTCCTATCGAAACCACACAAAACCCAAACACAGGATATACACACACATAAGGTGGCTGCTCCTCCAGAGCCTCCCTGCCGGGCTCATCCTCCCGGACCCGGTTGGGTGCCAGGCAGTCTCGGTGCAGGACCACCACTCTCCCCTGTGTTCCCAACTGGACCCGGTAGCAGACCCCACCCACCACCCCGAGAACCTTAGCGGGCCCATCCCACGATGGCACGGGCTGTACACCCAAACCCAGACCCTGGGCTGGAAGGCAGACCCCCTGCAGCGCAGGTCGTAGTGCCGCTTCTACCGGACTATAAATAATAGTAAGGGCAAAGTTCTGCACCCACCACATCCGCTGCCGCAGTTTCCACTTGTAGTCCAGTCCAGCCGCCAGTACAGACTCATCTCCGGGCAGCGGGCCGAAGACCAGGTCCACCGGGGTTTGCATTTCCCGGCCCAGCATGAGCGCAGCCAGGGTGCACCCGGTAGATTCCTGGACTGCCCAGGATATTCCCAGAGCGCAAGGGGGAGGTGGCGGTCACAGTCCCGTTGGTGCCGGGACACCAGGGTGGCCAGCTGGGTGGTGAGCATCCGATTAAATCGCTCCACTAACCCGTCGCTCTGGTGATACAGCGGGGTGGTCCGCGTCTTAGAGATCCTCAGGCACTGGCACACTCTGGCGAAGACCTGGTACTCGAAGTTACCCCCCTGGTCACTGTGTATCTCCTCTGGCACCCCTAGCCTGGCAAACATCCCCTCTAGTAGCGCATCAGCCACCGTGGGGGCACTCCAGCCACTTTGTAAAATAGTCCATTGCTACCAGGACGTAGTGGTTCCCAGCCTCTGTGCACAGAAATGGGCCTAAAACATCCATCTCCACCTGCTCCATAGGAGCCCCCACCTGGTGTTGTTGGAGGGGGGCCCGAGAGCGCTCAGGGGGACCCTTCTGCACCATACACACCACACACGTTCGGCAATACTGCTCCACGTCCCGGTGGCAGAGACCCCAATAGTGGCTTCGGAGACGCTGCAGGGTTTTCTTACAGTCGAAATGCCCCACGCCCGGCTGGTCGTGCACCACTGCCACCGTATCTCGCCACTGGAGGGTACCCGGCGCAGCACCCCATCCCTTACCTCCAAGGCCTCCCACAGGGAGCAGAGGGCCTTGATGGACTTTGGGTGTGGGGCGAGCTCCTCCTGCACAGGCCGTGCTCCTGCTGCCTTCCAGTGGAGCACCGGCCCCACATCAGGATCAGCTGCCTGTTGCTGCGCCAGGTCTGACAGGCCCACCCCCAGAGGCCCCTCCAGGGCCGTGGCCACAGCACTCACCTCCACCATGGGGCGGACGGCCCCCTCACGCTGCCCCCGCAGGGCACAGTAGCGGCAGTCCGCGGCCTCACAGGGGTGCCGCAAGAGAGTGTCGGCATTGAGATGGCGAGATCCCGCAGGGGGTTGAGTCTCAGGCCAGCACAGCCTGGAGGTTCGTCAAGGCCTGGTCAAAACCCCGGGCACGAACCAGCAGTTCGTCCAGGTACAGCACACACTGGTTCCGCAGGACCGATGCCAGCACCCTCTCCATCAGCCTTTCGAAAGTCGCCAGGGCATTGCACAGGCCAAAAGGCATGACAGTAAACTGCCAGAGGCCCTGGCCGATGGAAAAAGGCCGTCATCGGGTGAGCATCAAGAGCGAGCGGTACCTGCCAGGAGCTGCAGCAGAGGTCAAGGGAGCTGAACCAGGTCGACCCGGTGATGTAGTCCAAGGCGTCATCTATCCTCGGCAGGGGGTAGGAGTCTTTCCAGGTGACCTCATTCAGCTTGCGGTAGTTTACGCAGAACCTCCATGAGCCGTCCATTTTTCGGACCAGTACAGCTGGTGCCAACCACGGGCTTGCGGAGGCCTCAATCACCCCCGCTGTGGCCATCTCCCAGATCTTTTCCTCGGCGACAGTCCGCTTGGCTGAAGCCATGCTTCCCGGTGGGATGTGGATGGGCCGAGTGTCACCGGTATCGATGTCGTGTTGGACCAGGGCAGAGCGGATGCATTCCTTATCCCTTGCCGCAAAGAGATCCTCGTTTTAGGCGAGTAGCGCCTGGAGCCGCTGCCGCTGGTCCCAATCGAGGCCCTCGCAGCTTCGCTGGTACAATGCCAGCCTCAATGCCTTGCTTTCACACAATGCTCAGCCCCCACCACCGCTGCCTTGTCTGGCCCCCTGGGTGACTGAGGGGCAGGATCCGGCACACTCGCTCCCCGGCTCGCAGGCCCGGTCCGCCCCGGCAACTGCCGCCACTGCCTCTTTTTTCCCCAGATCTGGCAAGCCCATGTCCCTTGGCATTCGCTAGGCCTGCTCTCCACCAGGTGAAGTCGCTCTCCCTGCCACACCAACTCCTGCCGGCCCAAGTATAAACTGGCCCCTGCCCTTCTGCAGCAGGTCCAGCCCCAGGATGCAGTCCTCCTGAATGGGTGCGAGGTAGCAGGGGTGGCGCACCGTCGCTGTACCCAGACGGAAGGCAAGCATCTGTTTCCCCCGTAATGCAGCAAGCTGTCCCATCACGGTCCTCAGCCGCAGGCTGAGGCCTCCCATCCTGGGGGGGTGGTGCCCTCAGTGTCGGGGAGGACGCCAGGCCAGAGTAGGATAACTGATGAACCAGTGTCGAGCAGGGCCAGAAAGGTTTGGCCCTTGATTTAACAGTGGAGGTACAGGACCCGGCCAGTCAACTCGCCCCACGGTGGCTTGCAAGGCACCAGTCTGCACAGTGCTCTCCGGAGCGGGGTTTGAGGTGTTCAAGGGCAGGCCGTCCCCGTGCTGAGCAGCCCCGTTCTCATTTCCTGACACCGATCTAGGAGTGCGAGGCTCTCGGGCTCGGTGTCCCCTCTTCCTGCAGCGTTGGCAAAACAGCTTGTAGGGCTGTTCCGCAGGGGTCGCTGCGCAGGCCGGCTCCTCTTCCCCATTGCTGGACTCCTCTGTCGCCGCCTCGGTCAGCAGGAAGGGCACACTGCATCTGCTGGCACTCCCAGCCACCCCAAACATGGCCTCAGCCAGTGTAGCAAGGGCCAAGGCCTGCTCCAGTGAGGCTGGCGTGGCCAACTGTACATGGCGCCACAGCTGCTGTGCCTCCTGGGGGAAAGCTGGGTATCCTTGGTGGGCGAGGAACATGACATTAGCAGCGACAGGGCCCAGTCACTCTCCTGGTCGGCGCTGCCACAGGGCCAGCTTTTCTCGCATCAGGTCCAGCGCCTCCTCCATGCCGAAGCACAGCCGGAGAGCTGCTGCCAGCGCAGCGTATTCGCTTCAGTACTCCTCCGGGACATCCAGGAGGACCTGGTAGGCCACTCCCTCCAGCGCCTTCACCAGGTGGCTGGCCATCTCTACCCGGATCCACCCATTCGTTTGGGCCGCAAGCTGGAACTGCGCTTTGTATGTTTCCCAAGGCTCTTCCCCATCATAGCGACCGGGTCGTACCCGCGCTGGAGGGTGTGGGAATTGCTGACCGGCTCAGGCGGGGAGAGCATCTCCTCTCTGGGGCATCTGCTGGGTAGGAGTAGCAAGCAGTCGCCCCAGTTCTACCAGCGGGACCACTATTGGGTAGCTCTGGTAAGGGCTGTAGCCACCTGTTGCACCCAGGAATTGCTCAGGCTCCATGTGTGTGCTGGCAGTCTCGGGGTCAGTCTCTTTTAGGATCAGACGGCACTTGACAGAATCAGCTAGTGTCTGCCACAGGTTGTCCATCCTGTCAAAAACTGACTATACAGGTACAAAGTTACACAGGACACTAAAACTAACATAACACTATTTACATATGCAGGGTCAGCTGCTGACCCTCAGACTCCCCCCCTCCGCTAAAACTCCCAGCCTGCTTCGCGGTACCATGAGTGCCAAGGTGCGCTTCCTCCTCACCACCAGGCGGGGGCGCTACAGTTTATTCTTCGTAGATTAATGGTACAATCTTTAGTATTTTTTATTAACGGGATGCTCACTGCTTTTAAATTTTTTTTTCTTTATGGAGGAATTTTGTGCGCATTTTTAGTTGAAAAGACTTATTCTTCTGATTTTTTTTTCAGAAGGATTTGGGATGACTTACTGTACTATGATTCTGTTTCAGGTGGTGATGAAGAAGGTTTGTTGTGTTCATTTACTCTGTTTCTAGCACATGGAAAGTTGAAATCTCAAATAAATATTGATGTAATTGAATACAAGTGTTTAGGACTTTTTTACTGAAGGTATTGTGCGTTTCCTACTCTCGCGGGTGTAATTCCTCTTTCTCTCCATAATTACTGTATATCTTTGTGTTTTCCGAGAAAACGAAAGCTTGTAGAATGTGCTCCCACTGGCGCGGGTGACGCATTTCATTCCTCTCTTCCTCTCGCTGTCTTGGCCTGCCCCTGGATTCAAAAG